CTAAACCGTTTAGGGTTTTGAATGTTACTATCATAACCTTGAGGTTGATGCAGAAACAAACTGGTAGCTAATGAGGTGTGGCCAGAATGGAGGAGATGTGCATTTCTTTACCCCAGTTGTTAATCTGGCCGCCGAATTGTGGACCAGTTGACGTCTACATCAACCTCAAGGGTATCCCCATGTAGAGAGCACTGCAGTAGTCTATTCTTGAGATTATGAGTTTATGAATCAGCATTGTGAGTGCCCCCACTTCTAGATAAGGACGCAGCTGGGCAATCCTCCGAAGATGGAAATGGGCTGCCCGGACCACAGTTGCCACTTAGGTTTCCATGGTGGGATCTGGGTCCAGGCAGATTCCCAAGCTGTGAACCTTACTCTTTGTGGAGTCATTCCCCCAAAGGAGAGGGAGTTTCCCAACCTGCTGATGCAATGCCAGGGGCACCCACATGCAAGATTTCCATCTTGTCCAGATTCAACCTCAGTCCATTTGCCTTCGTCCACTCCAGAATGGTCCCCAAGCAGAGTTCAAGGGACGGAACAGCATGCACTGCAATTGGAAAAAAGGAGAGGTAGAGCTGGGTGTCATCAGCATACTGATGACACCAAGCCCCAAAACTCCAGATGACCTCACCCAGTGGCCTCATATAGATATTAAATAGCATTGGTAAGATGATTGACCCCTGCGGAACCCCACACATGAGGATCCACCGGGTGGAAGTCATCTTCCCAAGCTGCACTCCCTGGGGACAGTCCTCCAAAAAGAAACAGAGCTGCGCCAAAGCAAGGCCACCAGTCCCCAACTTGGAGAGCCGTCCCAGAAGGATACTGTGGTCAACGGTGTCAAAGGCTGCTGAGATACTGAGGAAGACCAACAAGGACATATTGCCTCTATTGGCCTCTCTCAAAAGGTCATCGTGGAGGGTGACCAATGCTGTTTCCGTACCATGCCATGACCTGAAGCTCGACTGGAATGGATCAAGGGCATCAGTTTCCTCCAGGAGGGCCTGGAGCTGATTGGCCAACACCCTCTCGACCACTTTACTCAAGAAAGAAACATTGGTAACGGGCCTATAATTGCCAATTTTGTCTGCTGCCAAATTAGTTTTCTTTCACATGGTTCTAATGAGTCTCCTTGAGGGCAGGGGGAACCTTCCCTCCTGGAGAGAACCATTAATTATTGCAGTAGCCCATTCTGTTGTTATCGGCTTGGCTGCTTTGATGAGCTAGGCCGGACAAGGGTCTAAGGAGGAGGTGGTGGCACGACAGCACTCAAGCGCCCTATCCACCTCATTGGACATCACAGGTTGAAAGCAAGTTAATCTTGCTGGACAAGACGATGCACTAGACATCTCAGTTCAATGTACTGTCTGTAAAAAGGGATCAAGGTCCCGGCAGATGGCCTCATCTTTAGATTTAAAAATGCCGCAAATTGGTCACAGGAAATACTAGCAGGAGGCCTATCATTGTGGCCAACTCCAGATAGATTGTGTACTATATGGAAAAGTTCTGCCTGCTGATTGTGAGCTTTGCTTATCTGGTTAGCAAAGAATGCTCTTCTAGCAACCTTTACCCTAGGTAGGTAAAGGCTAGACGCGATCCTGGTGGCTTTTAGATTAGTTTCTATCAGGGCCCTTCTCCAAATGCTCTCTAGCCTTCTCTGATTACGCTTCATGGCCCTGAACTGCTGGCTAAACCAGGGGGTTGGTTTGAATTTTCTTCAAATTATTTTCAAATTCAGCCATGATCTGGAAAACCACTTGGCAAAACTGCTTAATTTTCTTGTGAATCTTTTCAGTGTTTTAATTTGGTACTTTGCTCATCTCTGTAGATCAATATCTACAGAGATGGGTACTACTGACTCTTCATGCTGAATGGTTAAAGCTGCTTTTACTTATTTTTATATGGATTGTTGTTGTTGTTTAGTCATTAAGTCATGTCCTACTCTTCATGACCCCATGGACTAGAGCACGCCAGACCCTCCTGTCAAAGGGATTCAGAGTAATTCTGTGACTGCTGGCTCCATAGTTGTGATATGGCATGGTGTTAACTGCATATTTCAAAAAACCTTAAAGCTGAGAAGTACTGAGTTTTGAAGTGGCTGTTATTTTATCTGCTTTGTTTGAATTGATGGTTGTCAATGGTAATACTGTAATAACTTGACTCATTTGATAATACTATGAATATACAATATTTTTGCTCCATATTAATTCCATAAGATATTGTTTGAATTCTCTAAAAGAAAGTTTTTGTTTTGGAGCCCATTGAACTTAAGCCTTGGTTAAAATGGGTGTTTGTGCCTTTTCAAGCTATACCTAAGAGATTTTGTTCATAAGCCCATGCAAGCTGAAATTGCCAAAAATTAAACTTTATTAACCTAGCCAATTCTCTAAGACAGCTGTGCAAGATGCTGCTTTAGAAGCCTCTCTATCATTAATATGGTTGCTATCTCAGAATACTACTGGGCAGACAGATTAAACTGGATGTTGGCAGTGCAGATGGAAGCTTTTTGGGAGACACATTGTCTGTATGGTGACAGATGGCATGTTTGTAATCTTGTAGAATTCAGCCCAGAAATATGGGAAGTATTTAAAGAGGCAACAGAATATTTTTACATGTTGTAACTCTGCCTAGGCAAGTGTTCCCTTGTGGAATATACTGATGAATTCTCGACACTGTTTTATAGCCCATATGTGTGGAGTATATTACACATCTGTTTTGGGACACCATTTCATAAATGATGCTGTCAGCTTGTCACTCTTGACTAGGTTGTCATCCCTTGACTACCTTTGCTCTTTCTCAGTTTCCCAGAAGGGGTATCGACTATAGAAGACTTCTGAGTTTTAGCTGTTATATTTAAAATATAAATACAGTGGTGCCCCGCATAGCGAGGTTAATCCGTTCTGGATTAACCTTCGCTATGCGAAAACATCGCTGTACGGGACAGGAAAAGCCTATTGGAACGCATTAAACTTAGTTTAATGCGTTCCAATAGACGCCAAAACTTACCCCTCCAGCGATGTTTTCGCTGGTCCGGCGGCCATTTTGGAGCCGCCAAATAGCTGTTCGGCGGCTCCAAAATGGCCGCCGGA